TTAATGTTTTTCTTTCTGTTTGATTACTTTGGGAAAGAAAGAAGGGATAAGTACAGCTATCCCTCATTGTCCATGGGTATTGTTTTCAAAACCCATTGTAGATACCAAAATTCATGGACATTCAAGTCTATTATATAAAATGCCATCGTATTTCCATAGAACCTATGCACATCCTTAAGTGTACTTTAATTTCAATTCCTGGTTGATTGAATTCACGGATCCGGAACCCAGGGATACAGAGGGCCAACTGTACATGAAAGCACACTTAGAGAGTAACAAAATACAAACCTCTCTAATTAAAAAGGTTTAAAAAGCAAGGTTCTTAAGCAATCAATGAAAGAGAAAATGAAGAGAGACAATACATTAGTTCATCTTAGGAAGACTTAGAACTCTCTTTTTATTTGTGCACTCACTTGAATCATGTAACAAATTATCTCACTTCTGTAACTGCCTATTCCTATCATCTTTCTTTAAAATCTGAATGATCCTTTGTTACAAATAATAGGAGCCTGACCTAACCCCAAAAGGAAATTTATCAGCTCATGTAAGTTGGAAGTTCAAAGGGTGAATTGTAGGCATGAATGTAAGAATTCAAAATGATGTTGTTATAATTCTGTCTCTCTCCATCTTTCAGTTGTACTTGACTCCATGTCGATTTAGGCTCTCTTCAAGAGGAGGCAGAGTTAACCACCAGAAACTCCAGGAGACAGTGCACACAACTCTCTCAGAGCTCCAACAAAAGTCCCATATAACATTTCCAGATGTTAAGATTGGCCCATCTAAGCTCATGTAGTCATCTCTAATCTAATAACTCAGCATAAGAGCCTGCAATATTCTGTTTCAGACTGTACTTAAACCACATGGAGCACAATCAAGGTTATCACAATCACGGTTACCAAAAAAGGAGAAAAACATTCTTGGCAGGCTAAAAATGTAGATGTTCACCATTTAACTTCTTTTTTCCAATTACTCCTTTTCCCCGCTTCCCTAACTTTGCTTTCTGGGAAAAGATTTGAGTCAAATACTCTTTGAACATTTCCAAGTGGCTCACTGTTAACTTTGATACTACTAAGCAAAAAAGTAAGCTCTCTATTGTTATGGATTGAATTGTGTCTCCCCAGAATTTGTATGTTGAAGTCCTAGTACATCAGAATGACCTTACTTGGAGATAGCTCTTTCAGAGGTGATGAAGTCATTAGGGTGGGCACTATCCAATGTGACTGGTGTCTTTTTTAAAAAAGGAAATTTGGAGATGCACACATACATATGGGAAGAATGCCACGTATACAGTCATGTGTCATTTAACAACAGGGACACATCCTAAAAAAATGTGTCATTAGGCAAATTTCATCATTATGCAAACATAATAGAGCGTATTTGCACAAACCTGATAGTATAGCCTACTACATATCTAAGCTGTATGATATAGCCTATTGCTCCTAGGCTACAAACCTGCACAGCATATTACTGTACCAAAAATTATAGGTAATGCTATGCATTTGTATATCTAAACATAGAAAAGGTACAGTAAAAATATGGTAGATAATGTTATGGAGCTACTGTCATATATGTAGTTGGTCAATCCCTTACCAAAATGTTATTATGTGGCACATGACTATACATAAAGTGGGTCATCTACAAGCCAAGGGAAAAGGCCTGGTAGAGATCCTTCCTTCACAGCCCTCAGAATGAATCTAATCCTAACCCTTGCTAGCAACTTGATTTCAGTCTTCTAACCTCTGGAACTGTGAGACAATAAATTTCTGTTGTTTAAGCCACCAGTTTGTAGTACTCTGTTACAACAGCCCTAGCAAAGTAACACATCTAACAAACACTTTGGAAGTATAGCCCAATATGATGAAGTTGTAGTAATATGACTAATATTCATAACCAGCTTTCTGACTGAACCTAATGTTCTTAATATTTGCCCATAAAACATTTTAGATACAAAAATTAATGATTATTATACTAGTATACCTCTAAGATATTTTTTATCAATACCTTTACTTATGTGATTCCCCCTTCTTGAAATGCTCCCAGTGTTCTTCTACTTAAAATCATATTGTCCTTTCATTAGAGCAGGTTTGTAATAATGTCAATCTATAATGCATGCTAAAACATCATAGAGGCACTAAAATTATCTCTGGTAGAATACTGTGATGGGAAGAAGTATTTTGATAAACAGCTTAGAATAAGCATTATACTCTTAGAAGAATAGAAACTTGCCAAATGCCAAAGGAAGATGAATCAAAGTACCTGCCGAGCTTTCATATTAGAGTGGGGTCTAAGCTGGAGAAGAGCTCATTAGTTTATGAGTTCCCTGAGGACAGAGACTAATTCTTAGTCTTCATTTTAACTCTGTTTTATGGTGCTTTGTAGTTTTATTATGATAAGGAAGAAAAAGTATGATGAAGTAAATACAGTCACAGCACATTATTCAATATGACATTTAGGGTATGAATTAGACATGGTACTTGATCTTGAGTACCAGAGTATGTGGATATACTCTGGGGTATGCAGCAAATGGAAAGCATACAAATAGACTTTCAATTCCAGAAGGAGAAGGAACATGTCTGTTTTATTGTATCTCAGCATCTACAATAAATCTAAATTGCTCTCAACATCTACAACAGGACTATTTGGTATTAAAGTGGTTAATACCATTTAATACCATTAAATTTATGGTATTAAAGTGCTTTTATAAATGAATGACAGTCACATAATGTACCCTTGCTTCAAATTAACTGTGAATGCTCAATCATAGATTTCAAAATTTTGGATATCACAGACTAGTAAAATTTCAGAACTATTTTTGGGCCCATCACAATATTTTAAACTTCCTAACTGGCAAGAAAAATTGTTAAGAAATATGACTACCATTTTCTTTGAAAGATGTTTTAACTCAAAAGTAATATAAGGATGTATATCCCAGAATAAAGGACAATCCTTTAAACTTAAACGCATATAATTTTGTTTAACAAAAAACTCACTACAGAAACTGATGAGAGGTCTTCTAGTGGTACTAGTACCCTATCTCTAGTTCAAGCAAGGGTTAAAGAAAGGAAACATTATATAAAATCTTCAAAATGGAATGGAAATAAGCAGGTTCCAAAGCTTTGGGACTACTGGGTTCTAACACTGGAAACAAGCAGTGACTGCAGGGAATTCAAATGGCATCAGTGGATGAGAATTAAAAGTGCCCTACTTATCTCTAAGGATGTTAGCCAGACACACTTAATGAAACATAAGATCTCAGAACTATAGCCAGAAGTTGTAACAGCTGGAGCCAAAAATTTAGGGACCAGGCCAAGGCCTGCTCAGAGGTAGATTTTTGTTATTCCTGAGGAAAGAGAGCCCTTGTTTACCAACACAAAACCATGCTCTAAACCAGAAGACCTACAGTAGGTGAGAGGTGGTGTCAATGCAAAAACTGTTAGAGAAAGATCAACTCAGCAAAGGAGGGAAAATAAGATTCCCAAAGATAAACCTGTAATGATGAAAAAAATCAAAACTGTAAGGAAAACTGTTGCTATGAAAGAGCAACATAAACTCAACAAACTGAATGATTCACTTTCAAAGAAACTGAAATAATAGCACAATCAATGCTTGAAAATAAGCATGTTTGATATCTTCAAAGTGATAATAGAAGGAATAGCACCAATAAAAGAAAAAAATGAAACAAAAAATTGAAAGAATTCAATTAGATAAATAGATGGATAATTTTTAAAGAATCAATTAGAAATCCCAGAAGTTTTTTTTAGGAAAAAAAAAAATAGCTACTATATTTTCTTTTAAATGAAAAAATATGGGAGAATCAACTCAGAATGCAGCATAGGTAAATAAAGGAATGACAATATAAGAGAAATTAAGATACATGAGTGGATGGATTGAGAATTTCCTATACACATTAATAGAAGGTCTAGAAATATAGACCAGAGAAAGTAACTGAGAATTTCCCAGAATTAAAATAAATAAATAAATAAATAAATAAAAAGCATGACTCCTTATTCATTTTTTAATAGCTGCAATAAAATTTCTTGTCCTATAACTGTTTGCAAACCCATTAATAGGTGGAATCTATGGTCCCTCCCCTTAAAACTGGGTGGGCCTTTGTGACTATTCTTTGTTAGAAGAGTACAGTAAAAGTGGTGCTATGTGACACCTGAGACCAGGTCATAAAAGGCAATCATTTGTCACCTAATTCTCTAGTGAGATGTTTGCCCTTGAAATACAGACATCATGCTGTGAGTTGGCCATGGAAAGACCAATATGAAGTGGAACGCAGGCCCCCAAGACTTAAGCCCCATCTGAGCTCCTAGCTGATTGCCAGCACCAGCTGGCCAGCCGCATGAGTGAACCATTCTGGACTCAGTTACCTCATCACTCAGTTAAGCTACCCTAGCAGATACTAGACAGAGCAGAGATAAATCCTCCCCACCAAGCCCAAACTACTCCAGGTTTGTGAGCAAAATATTGTTGTTTCAAGCCACTGAGTGTTGAGTGGTTTGTTATGCAGCAATAGATAACCGGAACACATGCAACGCAGATAATTTGCCACCTGCAAACTTTCGCTAAAAAAACTATTAAAGGACTCATTGAGAAAGAAGAAAAATCCAGAAGAAAGGAAGGGATGCAAGGAGAAATGATAAAGAAGTTGGTATCATTTTCTAGTAAAGCTAATTAACTATTGACCAAAAAATTAAATGCCATCTGTTTATGTTGAGAAACAAAAATAGAAAACTACAATGAAGTCAATGTAAAATATAAATTGTGGATGGTTATAGTGCTAAGGTTCTTACTTTATTAAATAGTTCTAAAAAATACAAAGTTAAGTATATAAGAGAATATGTGAGTCCGCAAGATCTCTTATCCAATGCTGGTCGGAATGTAACTCAATGCAATTACCTGAAAAACAATCTGGCATTATTTTATGAAACTGTAGAACCTCTCTAGAAAACAATTGCATATAATCTTGTAAAGTTAAACATGCTTTTGTTACAATGCAGTACTTCTATTCCCGAGTATATTTCAGGTAAATTCTATCTATGCTGCAGGAAATGTGTTAGAATGTTCACATCAGCAATGTCTGTAATAGCAAAACACTAGAAAGTTGTCTGTGAGTAAATAAATTATGGTTTATTCTTATAACAATGAAAATGAATGAACCTCAGCTCCCTGTACAACGTGGATTAATATGTCATAATGTTGAATGAAAAAAAGTAAGTCGCTTTTAATGTCCTCTTCATAAAATAAGTTGCTCCTTTTATATGATTTTCTTTCTATAGAAAAGTGCTGATGGGGAGCACCTTGGGCCACAGTGGCATGTCTCCTCCGCCCTGCAAGCTGCCCTGCCTCTCACCGCCTACCTATGCCACCTTCCAAGCCACCCCAACCCTCATTCCCACAGAGACAGCAGCTCCATACCCGTCTTCAGCACTGCTCCCAGCTGCTGGGGTGCCTGCTGCCCCCACCCCTGTTGCCTTCTACCCAGGGCCAGCCACTCAACTCTACCTGAACTACACAGCCTACTACCCAAGCCCTCCAGTCTCCCCCACCACTGTGGTCTACCTCACCACACCCATTGCTGCCCTGGCATCTCCTCCCACCTCAGTGTTATCCCAGCCAGGAGCCTTGGTCCGCATGCCATGTGTCCCATACACAGCTGGTATGAAGGATCTACTCAGCATCTTCCAGGCCTACCAGTTAGCCCCTGATTACTACACCAATCTGATGCCTGTTGGTGACCCACCTCGCACTGTGTTACAAGCCCCCAAGGAATGGGTGTGTTTGTAGAAGAGGAAGCCAGAAAGTAAGAGCCAGCTGATATCCTCAGCAAACACGTCTCTCTTGCATCCAGAAGACCAGCACCCTCAACCTGGTAGCTTCTTTCTGGCTTGTCAAAGCTCTCAGAAGGTACATAAAGGAGCCCAAGCCCCAGCTCCGTCCTCCACTTTTTCTTCTGCCTGTTTACCCCAAAGACAATGGCTTGACTGTGCTTGCAGGGCTGAGGGTGGAATGGGGTAACCAGCTCCTGATGGCCTGAGCCAGGCGTCTTGACTGGCACTTAGAGAGCCCTTTGGTCTGTCCTGGCTGTGGCCCTTGCTGACAGATATCGTGGGGCTGACAGGTCCATGGAAGGCTTGCTTTCTTTTTTAAAATGGAAGCTCTGGTACCTTCAGGTATGACTCTTGGGAGAATGAAGGGTCCATCTGAGCCTTTGAGCAAAGATCCCAATGTTCTACCTCCCCCTGTCCCTCTCAAGGTGGGTAGGGAGGCAGAGAGAGCCAGCCCTCTTGCTGTACAAAGTCTGAGAAAATGCAAAACTAAAATACGTAACATTTAATTATGCATACATTTGTGATAAAATTATTTTTAATGTTTTAAAATATAATTATAAAATATATTTGTCTATTTTTAAAAATAAGGAATAATAAATATAGACTTCAAGATAATGAAGATAATGGTTGCCTAGGGGGCTTGGTGGAGGGGAGGCAGGCAGGGAGATTGTATTAGGTCATTTTCATGCTGCTGATAAAGGCATACCCAAGACTGGATAATTTATAAAGAAAAAGAGGTTTAATGGACTCACAATTCCACATGGCTGGTGAGACCTCACAATCATAGGAGAAGGCAAAAGCCATGTCTCACATGACAGCAGGCAAGAGAGAATAAGAGCCAAGCAAAAGGGGAAACCTCTTATAAAATCATCGGATCTTGTGAGACTTATTCACTATCATGAAACAGAAAACGCCCCTGTGATTGAATCATCTCCCACCAGGCCCATCCCACAACACATGGAAGTTATGGGAGTGCAATTCAAGATGAGATTTGAGTGGAGACACAGCAAAACCATATCAGAGATGGAATAAAGGAAGAATCTATAGGTAGATATAAATTATTGGTACTTTTTGATTCTTGGCTTGGGTGGGTATTCATAACTTTGGTTGGGGAGTAAGTGAATATAAATTTTCAAAATAAAATAAAAGTGAAATTAAATAATATAGATTATTCATGAACAAATGTTAACAATGTATTATGATTAATTCAATTTTGTTTACCTGTGATATAAATATAATATAATATGTAGGTAAAGGAATAGCTTCCAAACTACCTGGAAAAAAGCAAAAGTTAAGAGGGGAAAGGCACCGCAAAAATCTATTCCTTTGTTTTTACTGGTATATTTCTCTTTCCATTGCAGATTAGAGAAATTTTCTTCATGCACTAGTTACTGGACACTAGTGACCTACACTGAGCCCCACCAAATAGTCAAAGAGTTCTAATCTCATCGTTCAGCTTCATATATTGTGTTTGGAACTGGGACAAAGGATTTTTATTTGTCTTGTCTGAGTCTGTATTCTTGAAAATGAAAATCTAGTGACCATAAGTATTAATGCTATTGCACTTTACAAACACATGGCTTAAGATGCGTGTTAGCAGAAACCAGTCTTAAGATGTCACTCAACAAAAACATTTCCAGAAGCTTAGCACTTAATTGGCCTTATTAGCACCATCTGCTCATCACTCTTGCTTGTAGAAAAGTGTTTTCATTAGATAGCAACAAGTTGAAAACAAAGCAGATCACTACACTTTGTTTTGAATTTAACACCACATTTTGCCTGCCTCTTAACACAATTTTAAATCATCACATTAAATAAGTGAGTCAAATCATAGCACTTAACATTACATGTTCGACTCTGGTTTCCTCTGTGATCCCTTAAGCATGTGTCTATGTCCAGAAGTCCTTTTCCTTTCAGACCTACATCTGTCAGACTGCCTAGCCAGACATTTGGAGAAATCCTGTCTCGGTGAAGATATTCAAGAAAACCTGATTCACATACTCCATTTTTTTTTTATTCTACAAGCCTAGTTGCTCTAACACATCAGGCATAGAAAAGTTAGACCTAAATCAGAAATTAAAATCAGATACTGGGTAATGATTTGAACTAAAATTTATTCCTATTATAAAAGCATTCTTCTGAGAGTCTTCTGACAACTAAGCACTAATGATAAGAGAGTTTACTGTTTGGATTTCCTACCCTAAATGTCTACTTTAATATTATTAATTTGACCATAGGTTATTTTGAAGATATTTATATAACAAACTAAAGAAATATAGTTGATCATTACAATGTCCATTTCAGAAGTGGACTTAAAATTTAGGGGAAGTTAAAATTAAGTTTTCACTTTTTAGACTTACATCTACATCACTTTTTACATGGAAAAATGTAACATTTAAAAAATGATAATTAAATCATTTTTAATAATTTTTTTAAAATGATAAGTACGTACCTATTTAACCAAAACAAACATAACACTAATTAAGGAAGAAAATATAAACAGCAGTTTCCTTTCTTAGGCATCCTGGCTGTTGGTATAACTGTTCATATTACACCAAATTAATACTTTTTATTTTAAAAGCTAAAATAATAAATAGGAAAAATAAGACTATCCTCAGGAGGGATAACATGGGGAGAAATGCCAGATATAGGTGATGGGGGATGCAGCCAGCAAACCACCTTGCCATGTATGTACCTATGTAACAAGCCTGCATGATCTGCACACGTACCCCAGAACCTAAAGTACAATAAAAATAAATAAATACATACATAAAAATTTTTTTAAAAAAAGACTATCCTCAGAGTTCTATCCAGAACATAAAAGACTCTGCCAGGTGAAAACAGCACAAACTAGTTTTACAAATATATAAATTTAAGTTTTTTTTTTCATAAAGTGTGCCTGCACACATACATGCACACACACATATATTCACCTGGAGTTCATAATATACTACAGCATCAATCATGGCAATAAAATATAGCACTTTGTAGACTTATAAAACTAGAAGGTTTTAATAAATGGTTAAAAACTTCTTTGCTTCTTATTTATAAATGTTAATAACTATACCCACCTCCTAAAGTAGGTTGTGTTAAAGTTGTGTTAATTACAGGAGATACATGTGAAAGATCTGGCGCATAATAAACAGCAGCTATTATTATTTTAAAGCATGCATTTAAAAATTATAAATAAAGATTATCAACAAATGACCTATTTCAGCAGATTTTCCCTAATTACTTTTTAATAACTAACAATATTGGCAATTATCACAAAACACCTTGTTAGCTTTATTCCACTTCCTAGCAAAACCTTATTAAGACTTACTGAAAAGGGTTTATACTACTAGAATTTCATTATCATCTAGACAAAAATAATATAGTACATTTATTAGCCTTGTAACCAGTAAATACACAAATATTTTAAACCAATTACATTCACACATGTTAGGTTACATCATTCTTAATTTTAAAATTTGTCTATAAAAATGTGTAATCTACTAATCATAGCATTTCTTATTCATGATAATTAGTAAGGTATAATATTTTATCTCATTTTTAACAGTTTTGTGTAAAATCACATTATAAGCAAAGAAAGTAAATATTTGAAATGTACATGTGATTTACTGAAATGAAAAATTTTACATTAATACATTATCAATACGTTAACTAAGATCTGTTAAAACTAATCTCAACATCACCTATATAGAACTCCTGTTTAATGAGAATGTAACCATGAGAGAAAAAAGAACATGTTGATTGAAATTGAAGGACAGCCTAGAAGACAACTGGCCTAGACTCTTCTATGAAATAAATGTCATGACAGACAAAAATGAATAAGCAAGTGTTCCAGATTAGAGAAGAGTAAAGGACTTGATAACTAAATGCAAGAGAAGATCTGTGATTAGGTCCTGAATCATAGGAGAAAATGAACCATATATATAAAATATTACTGGGATAATTAGGAGGATTTGAAAATAGACTGTATATTACACAATAATAATGGATTTGTGTTCAATTAAATTAAGTGTAAATATTGGATTGTTATTACGTAGAATGTCCTTGTTCTTGACATATACACACAGAAGTATTAACACGTCTGCAACTAACTTCAAAAATGGACACACCTGCAATCCCAGAGCTTTGGGAGGTCAAGGTGGGCAGATTACCTGAGGTCAGGAGTTTGAGACCAGTCTGGCCAATATGGTGAAACCCCATCTCTACTAAAAATACAAAAAATTAGCCGGGTGTGGTGGTGCACACCTGTAGTTCCAACTATGAAAGAGGCTGAAGCAAGAGAATCACTTGAACCCAGCAGGTAGAGGTTGCTGTGAGCTGAGATTGCCATGCTGCACTCCAGCCTGGGCAACAGAGTGAGATTCCATCTAAAAAAAAAAAAAAAAAAAGGTCCAGCCAAAGAAAAAACTATAAATATACAGAAAGAAGCAACTATGGCAAAACAGTAACAATTTTTGAATCTATGTGAGTAGTACATGGTTGGTTGTTCATCGTGCTAGCCTTTCAACCGTTCTGTAAGTTTAAAAATATAAAATTGGGAGTAAGAAATCTAAACTACATAATTTTTAAAGAATACTGTATTTAACAATAAGTGACTGTCCCTTCCTGCTTTCTCACCCATGCCCTCTCCTCATATGCACTCTAGAGGTACCAGTTGTCTATTGGCAAAATTGCCCTGTCATTGCTCTAGGTCTCCATTGTCATGCAGAAACCACTCACACAGTAAATCCACTGTAACCATTGACATAGTCACTGTCATAGGATGGCATGCATTCTCAAGTGCACATGATTTATTTAGTTCAGACCATCTGCATGCATAGTTTTTTGTATTTGAATCTTCAAAACAGAATTTGTGTGTTATTCTAATTAAAATAAAAATTATACAAAGCTCATGGGGAGGGACTTTATTTAAAATAAAAATTCTCTGTTGCTCAGTTTTCTACCTGTAAATTAAGAGAACACTACCTGCCTCACAGGATTGCTATCAGGATTCAGTGAAAAAATATATGAAAACATTGAGCCTAGAATCTGGCATTCAGTAAATTTATTGATATTCAGTAAATTGTAGCAATTATTATTACCCTAACCTTAATTTAAGAAGAACATTCTAATTTGTTTTCTGTGAGGAAA